ACAAGTTCAGTGTGGATGTGAAGGAGGCCGAGAGCGAGAGCGACTCCGACTGATGTGGGGTGAGGAGACCCCCAAGTTGTGACCCCCCAACCCCTACCAGCACATTCATTACCCCCCCCTTGTGTTGTCGTTGGATTTGGTTCATTTTCTATGGAGTTGATGCTTTGTACAGTGGGGTTTAACCTGGAATAAACCTTGAGCCCCACCTCGCCCTTTGTGCTGGGGTTGGGACGGGGAAAGGGGAAGAGGGAACAGGCACAGCCCCAAGGCTGCCCCCAGGCCTGAGGCTTCGGTGTGGGGCTCAAACAGGATCATTCAGGGGTGATGAAGGCAGAGCTTGGATGGGAGCTGCGCTGCACCGGTGGTGCCATCGCATCCACCCTGTGCCATGCACCCGGGGGCTGCTGGCATGGGAAGGAGATGGACACACTGGGAGGTGCCCAGTGCCAGGATCAAGGACTTGGGGGTGTTGGGTGAGAAGCTCCCCATGACCCGGCTTCAGTGAGTGCTTGAGCCCAGAACCCCCCCTTGTGCTTGGGCTGCACCCCCAGAGCGTGAGCAGCAGCGCAGGGAGGGGATCCTGCCCCTCTGCTCCTGTGAGACCCCCCTGCAGCCCTGTGTGCAGTGCTGGGGTCCCCAGCATAAGGACATGGAGCTGTTGGAGCGAGTCCAGAGGAGGCCACGAGGATGCTCAGGGGTGGAGCAGCTCCTGTATGGAGCCAGGCTGAGAACATTGGGGCTGGAGAAGAGAAGCTGCGTGGAGACCTCAGAGCAGCTTCCAGTGTGTGAAGGGGGCTACAAGGATGCTGGAGAGGGGCTCTGCATCAGGGACTGTAGGGATGGGACAAGGGGTGATGGGTTCAGACTGAAACAGGGGGAGTTCAGGTTGGAGATAAGGAAGAAGTGATTTATGTGAGGGTGCTGAGGCGCTGGCACAGGGTGCCCAGAGAAGCTGTGGCTGCCCCATCCCTGGCAGTGCTCAAGGCCAGGTTGGACCCAGGGGCTTGGAGCAAGCTGCTCTATGGAAGGGGTCCCTGCCCGTGGCAGGGGTTGGATGCACTTTAAGCTCCCTCCATCCCAACCATTCCAGGATCCATGGTTTATTGAGCATGGGGCAGACCCGGATCCCATCCCAAGCAGGGGCCGTGCTCAGCAGCCCTCGGGGCGCTGGTACCTCCAGAAGGCGATGTCCCCATCATCGCCGCAGGACGCCAGCAGCCCGGGCTCCGTGGGGCTCCAGGCCACGCAGTTCACGTCCTGTGCGTGGGCCCGTGGCGCGTGTGCGGCCAGGCTGAAGCTGGGCTCCTGCCCCGTGCCCTCCTCGAACACCCGGATGGCGTCGTCACCGCAGGCCGTGGCCAGCGCCCCGGTGAGGTGGCACCTGCGGGGCAGCGGCAGGGATGGAGCCGCGGGGATGGAGCCACAGGGATGGGGCCGCAGGGATGCAGCGCAGGGGCAGGGATGGAGCTGCAGGGGCAGGGATGCAGCGGAGGGAAAGGGATGGAGCCGCGGGGATGCAGCGCAAGGGCAGGGATGGAGCCACAGGGATGCAGCACAAGGGCAGGGATGGAGCTGGAGGGATGGGGCCACAGGGATGGAACCACAGGGATGCAGCGCAGGGGCAGAGATGGAGCCACAGGGATGCAGCACAGGGGAAGGGATGGAGCCACAGGGATGCAGCACAGGGGAAGGGATGGAGCCACAGGGATCAGCGCAGGGATGAGCGCAGGGGCAGGGATGGAGCCCAGGGATGCAGACAGGAGGGATGGAGCCACAGGGATGCAGCACAGGGGCAGGGATGGAGCCACAGGGATGCAGGACAGGGGCAGGGATGGAGCCGCAGGGATGGAGCCGCAGGGATGGAGCCGCAGGGATGGAGCCGCAGGGATGCAGGACAGGGGCAGGGATGGAGCCGCAGGGATGCAGCACAGGGGCAGGGATGGAGCCGCAGGGATGCAGTGCAAGGGCAGGGATGGAGCTACAGGGATGGAGCCGCAGGGATGCAGGACAGGGGCAGGGATGGAGCCGCAGGGATGCAGCACAGGGGCAGGGATGGAGCCGCAGGGATGCAGCACAGGGGCAGGGATGGAGCCGCAGGGATGCAGCGCAGGGGCAGGGATGGAGCTACAGGGATGGAGCCACAGGGATGCAGCGCAGGGGCAGGGATGGAGCCGCAGGGATGCAGCACAAGGGCAGGGATGGAGCCGCAGGGATGCAGCACAGGGGCAGGGATGGAGCTGAAGGGATGGAGGCAGGGCAGGGATGGAGCCGCAGGGATGCAGTGCAGGGGCAGGGATGGGCTGGATGGATGGGGCCCAGGGATGGCCAGGGATGCAGCGCAGGGGTAGGGATGGAGCCGCAGGGATGGAGCCGCAGGGATGCAGTGCAGGGCAGGGATGGAGCCGCAGGGATTTGGCTGCAGGGATGCAGTGCAGGGCAGGGATGGAGCCGCAGGGATGCAGCACAGGGGCAGGGATGGAGCTGTGGGGATGCGGCAGCGCTCACCAGGCCACATCGTAGATGGTCCTCGTGTGGTACCCGGAGAGGTTGCAGATGCACTTCCACGTGGGCTCCGTGCCGCTGCAGGCAACCCCTGCGAGGGGGCAGCACAACCTCAGCCCCCTGCTCCTTCCCCTCCCTGCCCCATCTGCAGCCCCTTCCTCCTGCTCTGTCCCTTCCCTGCCTGCTTTATGTCCCTTCCTTCCTTCCTCTTTATCCCTTCCACTGTTCTCTCTTTACCTCTCCCTTCCCTTTCCTGCTTGCTCTTTTCCCTCCTCTTCCCATTGCTTCCCACTCTTCCCCTCCCTGCCTGCTCTTTATCCTTCCCTTCCCACCCTTTTCCCTGTTCCTTTCCTTGCCTGCTCTTTCCTTCCCTGCTTGCTCTTGTCCTTTTTTCCTCCCCTTTCCTTCCTCTTCCTCTTCCCCCCCTTCTCTTCCCCCTTCCCTTCCATCTGCTCCTCCTTCCCATTCCCTGCTCTTCCCTTTCCTGCTTGCTCTTTTCCTTCTTCCCTGCCCATCCCACTCTTCTCCCCTTCTCTTTTCCATCCCTGCCTGCTCTTTATCCCTTTATTTCCACCCTTTTCCCTGTTCTTTTCCCTTCCCTGCCTGCTTTTTCCTTCCCTGCTTGCCCTTCTCTTCCTCTTCCCTCCCCTTTCCTTCCTCTTCCTCTTCCCCACCTTCTCTTCCCCCTTCCCTTCCATCTGCTCCTCCTTCCCCTTCCCTGCTCTTCCCTTTCCTGCTTGCTCTTTTCCTTCTTCCCTGCCCATCCCTTCCCACTCTTTTCCCCTTCTCTTTTCCATCCCTGCCTGCTCTTTATCCCTTTCTTCCCATCCTTTTCCCTGTTCTTTTCCTTCCCTTCCCTGCTTTCCCTTGCCCTTCTCTTCCTTTTCCCTCCCCTTTCCTTCCTCTTCCCCCCTGCCATCTCTTTCCCCTTCCCATCTCCTCTCCCAGTATCTCCCCTCCCCTCGGTGCCCGGTGCTCACCGTGCTGGTTACCGGGCCGGTACCGCTGCCACACGCGCACGGTGCGGTCGTCGCTGCAGGACGCCAGGCGCTCTCCGCTGCGGTCGAAGGCCACGCTCCACACGGTGGACTGGTGCCCCTCCAGCGTGGCGCAGCACACCCAGTCATCCTCCTCCTCCCGGTACAGCTTCACCGTGTCGTCATAGCTGGCCGAGGCCAGGAGCTGAGCCACGGAGCACAACCATGGGCAAACGGCGGCAGGGTCACCCGGGACAACCCTTACCCATCAGTGCCACGGCCACCCCATGGCACTGAGGGGGTGTGAGCACCTGCAGGGACCCTGCCCTGGGCAGCCTGTTCCAATGCCTGAGCACCCTCTGGGGCAGGAATTGTTCCTCAGCTCCATCTAAACCTGCCCTGGTGCAGCTTGAGGCCGGTTCCTCTTGTCCCATCCCTTGTTCCTTGGGAGCAGAGCCCAGCCCCTCCTGGCTCCATCCTCCTGTCAGGCAGTTGGAGGCAGCCATCAGGTCCCCCCTGAGCCTTCCCTTCTCCATCTGAACCCCCCAGGTCCCTCAGCCCTTCCCCATCACCCCTGTGCTCCAGGCCCTGCTCCAGCTCCATTCCCTTCTCTGGCCCCGCTCCAGCCCCTCAATGTCTCTCTTGTAGTGAGGGCCCCAGAACTGAACACAGGGTTCGAGGTGCAGCCTCCCCAGTCACAATCCCTGCCCTGGCCCTGCTGCCGCACTGGTGCTGCTCCAGCCCAGGATGCTGGGGGCTGCCTGGGCACAAGCTCAGCTCCATCACCCAGCTCCTTTCCCATCAGCAGTTTCCAGCCCCAATCCCTTAACCCTGGAGCGTTGCAGGGGTTCTTGTGGCTCAAATGCAGGGCCCAGACCTTTACCTCACTGACCCTCATCACCCCATTCACCACCACTGACCCTCATCACCCCATTCACCATCATCACCCCATTCACCACCGCTGACCCTCATCACCCCATTCACCCTCATCACCCCATTCACCACCACTCTTCGAGCTCTGCTGGGAGCCAATGGGGCGATGCTGGAGCCGAACAGAACCAAGGCCCCTCTCTCCATCCCCATTCCCACCATGGGCCAGGGCCTGCACTGGGAGCAGGGCTCCTACCTCCTGCTTTGGGTGCCACACCACGTGCTTGACGTCCTGCGTGTGCGAGTTGAGGACGCTGACGCACTCGTACTCCTCCTCCTCATCCACTGCGCACAGGAGGCCGAGGCAGTGACACAGCCCAAGGATGGGGGACCCCATTGTGTGTGTGTGGGGGTCCCCCCCCCACCAGGACCCCCAGCTCTGCCCTCACCTTCCCAGACCCAGACGCTTTTGTCCCGGCTGCAGGTGGCCAAGAGGGCGCCCGAGGGAGCCCAGGCCACCGACTTCACCTCGTTCTCGTGCCCCTCCAGGGTCATGATGCACTGCAGGGCATAGGAGAGCGGGGAGGAGGGGCAATGGGGGATATGGGGTGGGAGTGGGGGGCTTGGGGGGCATGGGGGGTGTTGGGATGCTCAGGGGGGCATTGAGGGGCTTGGGGAACATGGGGGATGTTGGGGTGCTCAGGAGGGCATTGGGGGGCTTGGGGAGCATAGGGGATGTTGGGGTGCTCAGGACGGCAATGGGGGATATGGGGTGGGAGTGGGGGGCTTGGGGAGCATGGGGGATGTTGGGTGCTCAGGGGGGCATTGGGGAGCATGGGTGATGTTGGGATGCTCAGGGGGGCATTGGGGGCTTGGGGAGCATAGGGGATGTTGGGGTGCTCAGGACGGCAATGGGGGATATGGGGTGGGAGTGGGGGGCTTGGGGGGCATGGGGGGTGTTGGGGGGCTCAGGGGGGCATTGGAGGGCTTGGGGAGCATGGGGGATGTTGGGGTGCTCAGGGGGGGCATAGGGGACATGGGGTGGGAGTGGGGGGCTTGGGGAGCATGGGGAATGTTAGGGTGCTCAGGGGGGGCATTGGGGGGCTTGTGGTGGGAGTGGGGGGCTTGGGGTGCATGGGGTTGTTGGGGTGCTCAGGGGGGATATTGGGGAACATGGGGTGGGACTGAGGGGCTTGGGGAACATGGGGAATGTTGGGGTGCTCGGGGGGGCATTGGGGGGCTTGGGGTGGGAGTGGGGGCTTGGGGAGCATGAAGGATGTTGGGGTGCGTGGGGGCATTGGGGGACATGGGGTGGGATTGGGGGATTTGGGGAGCAGGGGGGATGTTGGGGTGCGTGGGGGCATTGGGGGACATGGGTCGGAGGACACAAAAGGATGCTGGGGTCCCAAGGCAGGGTTGGGGGGCACCCAGGGCAGGGTTGGGAATCACAGGGAGGGCTATTGGGGGCTACAGAGGGGTGCTGTGGGGCACGGGAGGGTGTCTGGGCTCACAAGGGGGGTGTTGTGGGGCACGGGGTGGAGCTTAGGGGGCACAGGAAGGTTTGAGGGGGGCACAGGAAGGTTTTGGGGGGCACACGAAGGTTTTGGGGTCCCCAGGGGGTGCCGCACCTCGAAGCCATCCTCTTGCTTCTTCCAGATGCAGGTGGTGGCGTCGAAGCTGGCGGAGGCCAGGTAAGTGCCGCAGGGGGACCAGGCCACCCTGCGCACCGTGCGCTGGTGCCCCTCGCCCAGCACGGCGCGGCATGCCCACAGCGGGCCTGCGGGAACAGCGCGCCTGACGTCACCGACACGCCCCCTCGCCTGGCCACGCCCCCCGGTCTGGCCGCGCCCCCCTTTCCCCTTCAACCGCGCCTTCATCGCTCCGCCTGGCCGCGCCCCCAATCAAAGCTCCTCCCACGTTTCCCTCTGGCTCCGCCTCTTTCTCAGCCACGCACCCAATCATAACCCCGCCCTTTTTCTCCCAGCCACGCCCCCACTTCCCCTTAACACCGCCCGCATCACCGGGTCACGCCCCCAATCACAACTCCTCCCACGTTCCCCTCTGGCTCCGCCTCCTTCTCCACCCCGCCCACATTGCCACACTCACCAATCATAGCCCTTCCTTCGTTCTCCCAGCCACACCCCCCCTTGCCCTCAACCCCACCCTCACTGCATCACCGGGTCATGCCTCCAATCACAGCTCCTCCCACGTTCCCCTATGGCCCCGCCTCCTTCTCTGCCCCGCCCACTTTACCACGTCCACCAACCATAGCTTCTCCCTCTTTCTCCCAGCCACGCCCCCTTCCCCACTCAACCACGCCCTCATCGCTCCGCCTGGCCGTGCCCCCAATCAAAGCTCCTCCCACATTCCCCTCTGGCCCCGCCTCCTTCACAACCCCACCCGCGTGCCATGCCCACCAATCATAGCCCCTCTTTCTTTCTTCCAGCCACGCCCCCCTTCCCCACTCAACCACGCCCTGGCCACACCCCCAATCAAAGCACCTCCCACGTTCCCCTCAGGCCCCGCCTCCCTTTCAACCCCGCCCACTTTGCTACGCACACCAATCATAGCCGCTCCCTTTTTCTCCCAGCCACGACCCCTTCCCCACTCAACCCCGCCCTCATCGCTCTGCCTGCTCACGCCCCCAATCAAAGCTCCTCACACGTTGCCCCCTAGCTCTGCCTCCTTCTCAACCCCGCCCACTTTGCCACGCCCGCCAATAACAGCCCCACTCTCTTTTTCCAGCCACGCCCCCTTCCCGTCAACCCCGCCCTCATTGCACTGCCTGGCTGCACCCCCAATCAAAGCTCCTCCCACGTTCTGCCCTGGCTCCGCCTCCTTCTCAACCCCGCCCCAATCATAACCCCGCCTTTTTTCTCCCAGCCCCGCCCCCATCGCGCCTCTATCCCCATCCCTCCCTGCCTCTGGCCACGCCTCTCCCGTTAAGCCCCGCCCTTTCCGCCCCGTTGTCCCCTCCCCGCGCCGTCCCCGCTCGCACCTTCCCTGCCCCAGATCCGCACCACCCGGTCCCCGCCGCACGACGCCAGGAGGCCCCCGCCGGGGCTCCAGGCCAGGAACCAGCACCGGGACTCGGGATGCGCGGCCACCCGGCACAGCAGCTCCAGCGCCTCCTTCATGGCGGCGCGCCGGATGTGGCGTCAGCGCGCCGGAAGCGGAACGGCGGCGGAGGCGGAAGCGGGCGCTTGAGGCGGAGCGGCGGCCGGGAGGAGCCGGCTTCGGGCCCCATGTACACCCCGGGCGGGCCGGGGCTGCCCGGCGGGCGGCGGCGCCGAGGGGCGGCGGGGGGGGCGCTGCCGAAGCAGCCGGAGCGCAGCCTGGCCTCGGCGCTGCCCGGCGCGCTCTCCATCACCGCGCTCTGCACCGCGCTGGCCGAGCCCGCCTGGCTCCGCATCCACGGCGGGACCTGCGCCCGGCAGGAGCTCGGCGTCGCCGATGTCCTGGGTTACGTTGACCCCGAGTTGCTCCGAGGTGAGGCCGGGCCCGGGAGCGCGACCCCTCCGCGGCTGAGCCCGAGGGGAACGGGAGGAGCACAAATCCATTGATCCCAATGCAAGACGTGGGGTGACCGAGGCACGGAACCGTGGGATGGAGGGGAGCTTAAACCTAACCCAGCTCCAACCCCTGCCACGGGCAGGGACCCCTTCCACTGGAGCAGCTTGCTCCAAGCCCCTGTGTCCAACCTGGCCTTGAGCACTGCCAGGGATGGGGCAGCCACAGCTTCTCTGGGCACCCTGTGCCAGCGCCTCAGCACCCTCACAGGGAAGAGCTTCTGCCTAAGAGCTCAGCTCAGTCTCCCCTCGGGCAGGTTCAAGCCATTCCCCTTGGCCTGTCCCTACAGGCCCTTGTCCCAAGCCCCTCTCCAGGTTCCCTGCAGCCCCTTTAGGCACTGGAGCTGCTCTAAGGTCTCCCCTTCAGGAGCCTTCTCTTCTCCAGGCTGCCCCAGCCCAGCTCTCTCAGCCTGGCTCCAGAGCAGAGCTGCTCCAGCCCCTGAGCATCCCCATGGCCTCCTCTGGACTCACTCCACCAGCTCCATGGCCTTATGCTGGGGACCCCAGCACTGCACACAGGGCTGCAGAGGGGGGGTCTCACAAGAGCAGAGGGGCAGGATCCTCCCCCTGTGCTGCTGCTCACGCTCTGGGGGTGCAGCCCAAGCACATAGGGGGGGTCTGGGCTCAAGCGCTCACTGAAGCTGGGTCATGGGGAGCTTCTCCTCACCCAACACCCCCAAGTCCTTCTCCTCAGGCTGCTCTCTGTCGCTTCTCCACCCAACCTGTGTCTGTGCCTGGGATTGCCCTTACCCAGGAGCATGACCCCTCTTCTCCATCCTGTCCCAGTCCCTTTGCATCCCATCCCTTCCCTCCCTCCTATCACTGCCCCATGCAGCGCTCTGCCCATTGCATGGTCTGGTGTAGAAAAGCAGCGTTCTGTGATGCTCACCCCTGCCTCTCTCCCTCCCCTGTCAGATTACTGCATGAACCCGCAGACCGTGCTGCTGCTCCGGGTCATCGCCGCCTTCTGCTTCCTGGGCATCATCTGCAGCCTCTCCGCTTTCCTCTTGGACGTCTTCGGACCCAAGCACCCTGCGCTGAAGATCACCCGGCGCTACGCCTTCGCTCACATCCTCACAGGTAAATCCCTGCTGAACAGCCCCCGTTGGGCTGTGTTTCCATCCCAGACCTTCCAAGAATGGAATAGAAGCCCCCCAGAGGGTGTTTTGGGCTGTGTTTCCATCCCAGACCTTCCAAGGATGGAATAGAAGCCCCACAGAGGGTGTTTTGGGCTGTGGTTCCATCCCGGACCTTCCAAGGATGGAATAGAAGCCCCCCAGAGGGTGTTTTGGGCTGTGTTTCCATCCCGGACCTTCCAAGGATGGAATAGAAGCCCCCCAGAGGGTGTTTTGGGCTGTGTTTCCATCCCGGACCTTCCAAGGATGGAATAGAAGCCCCCCAGAGGGTGTTTTGGGCTGTGTTTCCATCCCGGACCTTCCAAGGATGGAATAGAAGCCCCCCAGAGGGTGTTTTGGGCTGTGTTTCCATCCCGGACCTTCCAAGGATGGAATAGAAGCCCCCCAGAGGGTGTTTTGGGCTGTGTTTCCATCCCGGACCTTCCAAGGATGGAATAGAAGCCCCACAGAGGGTGTTTTGGGCTGTGTTTCCATCCCAGACCTTCCAAGGATGGAATAGAAGCCCCCCAGAGGGTGTTTTGGGCTGTGTTTCCATCCCAGACCTTCCAAGGATGGAAGAGAAGCCCCCCAGAGGGTGTTTTGGGCTGTGTTTCCATCCCAGACCTTCCAAGGATGGAAGAGAAGCCCCCCAGAGGGTGTTTTGGGCTGTGTTTCCATCCTAGACCTTCCAAGGATGGAATAGAAGCCCCACAGAGGGTGTTTTGGGCTGTGTTTCCATCCCAGACCTTCCAAGGATGGAATAGAAGCCCCCCAGAGGGTGTTTTCCATGCCTTGGATCCTTGCTGTGGTTCCCATCCTACAGGGCTGCCCACTGGGTTCCACTTTCCATGGTGTTAATGGAGTTAAAGCTTGGTGGGGATGGATAGGGATGAACATTCAGTGTCCCCTGATGGGTCTTATTCCTTAAAGAGATGGCCTAGAACCTCTCAGGTCAAATTCCCTGCTGGAATCCCCAGTTTAGCCCTGAGCAGCTCCGGGAAAGGCCGAGCATCCCCTTCCCCATGGGTGATTCATCCCTGCTGCGCTCCCAAAAGCCCCCTTTCCAACCCTAACCCACCTCCCCCTGTATCCCAATGGATTCGGAGCATCCCCTGCCCCGCTCTCCCCTCTCCTGCAGTCCTGCAGTGCGCCACCGTCATCGGGTTCTGTTACTGGGCCTCGGAGCTCATCCTGGCGCAGCAGCAGCAGCACAAGAAGTACCACGGCTCCCAGGTCTACGTCACCTTCGCCGTCAGCTTCTACCTGGTGGCGGGCGCCGGCGGTGCCTCCATCCTGGCCACGGCCGCCAACCTCCTGCGCCATTACCCCACCGAGGAGGAGGAGCAGGCACTGGAGCTGCTCTCGGAGATGGAGGAGAACGAACCCTACCCGGCCGAGTACGAGGTCATCAACCAGTTCCAGCCACCACCGGCCTACACCCCCTGAGCCTGGTGCTGCTTCCTCTCCCCTCTGCCTCCATCAGCACCCCCAGCTCCATCGCTGTTCCCTCCCTTGAGGAA